AGTTTCGCACAACCACTCCAAACAAGACTCAAAATTTCAAGTTCAATTTCTCCAACTTCCTAGGCAATGAAAGGGAAATTTTGAAAAATAGAGGATGAGATACGAACCACCAAAAATAAGTGACAGCATAATTAAGCTTGAAAGTGAGCAAAAGCATGAAAGAGAAGAGAAGGGCATGGGCTACAAGCGCTTGAAGCGACTTCGCCACTCTCTTTCAACTCATCACCCTTCTTCTCAAAAAAGCAAGACGTATTTGCAAACAATTTCAGAAGCTAATTCGAATTTCTGGGACGGGAATTGAACGGAATTTTTAGGTGGATGACGGCATACAAGTTCAGGAAAGCAGCCGCTGCTAGGTTCCTTCGATTGACCCAGCAAAAGAGAGAAATTGGAAGGAAAAATGTTCAGATCTAGTGTTGATGGAGGGATAGAGAGAGAAAGAAAATTAAAGGATGAAATTGCAAGTTTTATTAAGAGCGATCGCAGGTGGTGAAGCAGAGATTGGTGTCACAGGTGCTGGCAATTGAGATAGTTTTCCAGTCACTAATCATCGGAGTGACGATGGGGTGGGATGACTCCGTTAGGGAGTTAACAGGAAGATAACGAAGAATGGATGTGTGTCATGAAGTGTGCAGAGGATGAGGGTGGATATAGCATTTTCCTTGAAATTTTTTCAATATTTGCAGCTATAGACTTGCATAATAACTTATAAAAGGGTTAATGACAGCGAAAATCCTTAACTTTAAAATGAAAATATGCATCCATAACCAATACATTGAGCAAAATGCAAAATCCATAAGGTCCTAAACTACTTCCAATTAGAGATTAGATTTTAATTTAAAGTTGTCATAGATCAGTCATTTAATTAATTTTCCAGGATTGTAAATATGTAGCAAAAATATCATAGGACAATAAGTAAATCAAAGCCGAACCGCCTAATTCCAAATAATCCATCAACAAGAACAAGAACCCAATGTACTGTTGCCGATCATAAAATTATAAAGACATGAACATGAGCAATTTAATCCAATCCAATAACCTATTTTAAAACTAATTCTTACCTGAGAGGACTGCAAATCTAATTTTCTGAGAAGATCCTCGGACTTACGGCTACAGAAAGTAGATCTAATTTAAAAAGCCAAGTGCAAATGAAGATGGTAATCTCAGATTAGGTAAATGGACTTGATTTAAGGAATGAACAGAGAATGGATCATTTTTTTTTATTCTAATTTTTTTTTATGGTAACGTGCCCTAACTTGATATATTGGATCCATAATATCATATTATTTGATTTGGTATATTGGATAAAAAAATCCTCCCCTTTATTCTACTCATATGAAATATATTATTACAGAATTAAAAGCAAATAGATCAAGTCATATCAAGGTTTGATTTATCCTAATATTTTTCTTTTATAGTAACGTGCCCTAACTTGGTATATTGGATCCATTATATGATCTTGTGCATATGATATAAAAAGGTTTGTTTACCCAATGACATGTTAATTTGAGTGAAATGAGTTTGGTTGTTCTTAAATAAAATCTCAAATTCGAACCTTATGAATAAAAAAGTATGTATTGAGAAAGTTTTTTTCGTTATAAGGTTTGATATGGGTCGATTTCAAATTAGTCGAGATTTAATGTAGTTTTTGAATATCAAGAGATTAATACAAAAAAAAAAAAAAAGAAGAAGCTTGTTTAGAGTATAATAAATATATTATTTTACAATTAATTTATATAAAAAATACAAAAGTTTATCTCTATTTTTAAGACCATTACTATATGTGGATAGTTTTAATTAATCAATTTATTAAATTAAAGTTAACATTTATATTTTTTTATGTAAATTAATTACATAAAATACAACAAATGCACCCCCTAAGGGCACAAGAAATAGAAAAACAGAATAGAATATTGCCATGTTTTATCTCTTATTTTATTATATTATAAAAATTGTTAAAAGTAAAATAATTAAAGGGATGAATTTTATGGGACCAAAATTTGAAACCAGTGACATAATATGACTCGTCATTTAAAACATTAAAATGTAAATTTTATATTATTTAATAATTGACGCTTTTTATTTTATTAAAACTCGTAATATTATATGTATTAATTCATTTAATTACATGATTTATACTACATCATTAGTCTCAAATTTCATATTTTATATCATTACTCTGGTTAAAATCTTTAATAAATTTTAAATAAATACTCAATGAACCTTCTAAAATTCTCAACAAATATTAAATAAATACATAATAAGTTTTTTAAAATCTTTAATTACCCGCCAACGACTTAAGTAACTCAATGGTTATCTCCTTTTGTTGGAAGTAAAAAGTTCTAAATTCGAGTCACATGATGTGCAGGTGGAGTGGAATAAAAAATGAAAGATAGTTGCATCCTATTGTGCAATCAAAATAAAAAAAAAAATCTTTAATTACCAAAGAAATACCCTCCCAATAGGCTTTTTAAAATTTCAACTCAATTATAATTTCAATGATAATTTTTCGTTTTAATGCAATTCTAATTTGATGTAACTTCAACTATTTTAATAATATTTTAATATAAAATAAATTATATTTTTAATAATAACTTTATATATATATATTTTTAGTATTATATTTTAAATAATAAAAAACAAGTATTGCGTAGTAGATATTCTAATCATCTTATGATCTTATTATATATTATAAAAAAATTGTTAAAAATCAAATCTCGAATAAATATTCAATAAACTTTTTAAAATCTTCAATAAATACAAAATAAATAACCAATAACTTTTTAAAATCAAACTCAATTATGTTTTATTATAGTTTACAAATTGTTAATATTTTTATTAATCCTAAATAAATATTTAACAGACCTTTTAAAATTTACAATAAATCATCTATAAATCTTTAATAATTAATTACTAAATAAATATTGAATAGGTCTTTTAAAATCTCGAATAAATATGAAATAAATATCCAATAAACTTTTTAAAATTCTAATTCAATTATATTTTTAAATAATAATCTTTTCTTTGACACAATTCTAATTCAATCTAGTTCAACTATTTCAATTATATTTCAATATAAATTCAATTATATTTTCCATAATGATATTTTCATATGCATTTCAATATTATATTTTTAGTAATAGAGAACAAGTACCATCCAGTAAAAATTATAATCATCTTATGATTTTACTATATTATAAAAAAAATATTAAAATCTTCAAAAATTGTTAAAATCCTACCATATTGCATTGAATCCCATGGTTATTATCGAAACCCATTGACCTATTAGAGCTTAATTGACTCATATTTGGAATTCCATTTTTTTTTTCTTTTTTTGAAAATTTTGGAAAGGGAAAACAGGACCAAGGGGTACCATTGAACCCTAGTCTGGGGGAGTTCGCTTTGAAGACAATTTTACTTTGTCAACAAGTTTCTACGCGCATCATGAGCACTTGGAAAATGCAGGCAAGCACATGAGAATGGTATGTTTGAAAAGTCCACTCTTTTGATTTTGTTTTGTTATCTTCTGGATCTTGTTAGCCTTACTCCTGTTTTCACGCCTCTGTTCGTATACTGCCAACTTAAAATTTAAGTATTGGCCTAACACCATGATCCATAAAATACGCAATCCCACCTTGTTTCCCTCAGCTTAGTGTGCCTAATTCTTGTCCTTTTTATTTTTCTCCCTTTAACAAAATAAAAACAAAATAGTTTTTTTAATCTGCCTGCACTTAAAGATTATCAATCAAGGGTGAAAGCATAAACACTCATAATGACATTTTTTTCTTTTCCCATACTAGACTAATTTTTTTTTTAGGTGCAATCCACCCTGAGAGAGAAAAAAAATTAATTCTCAAATAAAAAAAAAGGGGAGGGGGGGGTGAAACACTATTGGCCTGAGAAAGAGTGCTGGTTTAATTCAGTGGTTCAATTTTGGAAATGATATATATGCTTGTGAGAATGGTTACAATGAGAAAGACGGTGAGCTGAACTCTGACCCATCTAAAGAAAGCAGCAATTTCTATCTGCTTGCACTGATGTGTGAACCAGCTATATTCCTTGCACCCAAACATTTCTTGCTTCTCCTTTCAGAATTATTTTTTCCCTATTTTAGGGCGCCATGTTTCCTCATGAGGCTCCTACTCCAAGAAAATCTATAAATGGTGGTGCTACCGCATTCTCAAAGTCTCTTGAACCTCTTGTGTTTTTTGCAATTGATTGTGAGGATGATGGTTCAGTGGCTGAGACATGAGATGCAGATCCTGTGGAGTCTGAGAAACGATATAGTTGATGGCTAACTGTCTGTTGTATTGCCAATGAGGGATATTGTGAAAATGTAGAAACGGAGAGGGTTGTGCCATCCTTTAGAATATCCAAGTGCTTGCTTTTCTGCCTGAAACTTTCCTGGCTCATGTAACCTGCAAACCCACATATACCCTTCCATTAGATTGAGAAAAAATCAGTTGTAATGAAATGATAATTAAACGGATTAAGGCTAAATGCTTGTTGATCTTGTACTTGATGAAAGATGAAGTAGAATTTTACTTAACGTAGCCAATGTGGGGGGAAGGACAAAAAACAAGAAAACCTAAACGCACAAAACTGAATTATAGCATGTCAGGATTTGTGTAGAGGGACCAAATGACACACCAGAAAACAAATCCAAAGGTGCCTTGTTTTTGAAATTTTCCTGGCCAGGAGGGAAAAAGTTGGTGCTTTTGGACCCGTGAAACAGGTGATTGCTTCTGCTCACTGCTTCTTCTCCTGAGATCATTTTTTTGCATGAACCACAGGGGGCTCCAAATGGATTTTGAGATAGGGTTTTGAGGTTGCAGGCATTTTGGAAATTGTGACAGATGAGTCCTGAATTACTGACTGCTGCATCTCTGCATACAGACCTCCCATTGCTATCCTCCATCTTTCTAAGATCAAGCTGACTCACTTTTCTTCTTCTATAGTAGCTGAACTGCTCCCTGTATTTCCGAGCCATTATCACATGCCAGTGATTCTTCACAGCATTATCAGTTCTCCCTGGGAAAAGCCTAGCAATCATGGCCCATTTGTTCCCATATGCTCTATGAGCTGCTAACAACCTCTCTTCTTCCTCTTCACTGAACGCCTTCTTGTTGATTCTTGGATCAAGTTGATTAAACCACCTCAATCTACAGCTCTTACCTTCAAAATTAAAAAACAAAGCAAAGGTTTAATCAACTTTTTTTTAAATTTCTTGATTTATTGTTCTTTACCATCAATAGCTCAATTTACCTGTTCTTCCTTGCAATTTCTCTGCTATAAGGTTCCAGTTTTGAGGTCCATAAAGAGCAACAAGTTCCTTGAGCTTAGAGTCCTCTGCAGGTTTCCAATGCCCTCTAGCACAAACCTTGGACTGTACCAAACCCCCATCAGGATTCTCTCCATTCATATGCTCAACTCTCATCTTCATCCCCTGCATGGAGACTGCAGTATTGCTTTCTCCAAACCCATTAATGAATTCAGAACCAGAATCCCTGTGATCCTCCTTCACAGGACTACCACCATAATAGCAAATCTTTTGTGAAACTTGTGAGGTTGGAGAAACAAAGAGAGAACCTGTATCTGTAAATATCTCCTTCGGAAAGGTGGAAGCTGTAAAGATGATATATTGATTGTGGAAGCCATTATTGTTTTCTTGGTGATAGGAAGTGCTGTTGTGGAACTGTTGCAGAGTCATGTTAATGGCCGAGAATGGTAAAAGATTAGAGCAAGAAAAACGAGGAAGATGAGAGAGATTTGCGAGGAATTGCAAAGAGAGGAGCAGAGAAAGAGCGAGGGGTTTTGGAGCGCAATAAGTGTTTGTTTTTTGTTCTAACAGAAAATCTACACGACTACTCATCTTCTGTTGAGGAGAGGTTCTGTACCCTGACACACCCTGACCTTTAGTTTGACTCTTTCTGGGGAGGAACAGAGAGTCACTACGCTACTCCATGGCGCGTTGGAAACACACCGGTTTTCAACTAGAAGTATAACTGCTGCATATGGACTTCAAGCATTGGCTAGAAGAGAATGAGGCTATTTGAATCAAGTCTTGGGGGTATCCCCTTCAATTCAAAGAACAGGAATGGAAAATCTGAAAATTTTCTGAAGTAATAATGTTGATTGATGAGTAATAACTAGTCTAGAATGGGCATTTGGCAAGCCGGGCAACACCACCTATGTCACACAATTGCAATTGGGAGTCATAAGAAGGGAATGCGACTAGCATTTGCATTTGCTTCTTTGTTAGTACTATTACATATATTTGATATTCTCTTGCCTCAATTACACTTACACACGTGTGAATGTCTAGCTCATGTCACGGGTGAAGTTCTGAGACAAAGCCTCAGTCCAAGCAGGTGTCTGTTCCTCTTCTCCTCATTTTGGGATGTCCTCATCCTCTAGCTCAGCAAAACAAGGGGTATTCTGTCCTTGCAAAGGGTCTCCTTCCTAACCTATTTTTCAGTTCAGAGGACAAAGAAATAGGGGCAGACCAAAGATGACCCAGAAAGCCTTACCAATTAATAACATGTTAGGTCTGTCTCTGTCTCTATCACGGTCAGAAATATAAAACTTTGATTCAGGCCCTGCATTAATCTTGGGTGAGTTTAATTTGTTTTAAACGACCTGAGAAAGACCCAGTAGGCCTGCTCTTGCGTGGGACAGTGTGAGTCTTCAATGCTAGTCAAAGTAACAGCAGCTAAAGGCATTAAACTCCAAAATCAGTTTGGACCTACCATCACATCAGCCCTCTAACCTCTTCCATTAGGCTACTATGGTTCCAAGCATATATTCTTAGATCAAATGTTGGTTGTCATATTCTTGGACTCGACAGGCTTGTGCAGGAGATAGAAGTTTTTGGTTTTAAAGAGGATTAAGAGACTTTAGTCCTGATTTGGGTTTAGCTCCATATTCCAATGCTTACTAAACACACAAAATGCAGTTTAACTAAAAAGGGAAATTGAAATTACTTTGTCACAGAGCTTGCTTTGGATGAAGTAGTACATTGTCATCTCCAATCTGATTATAGAAATGGCTGCAAAATAATGTAATTGTCCATCTTTGATGCTCAGGTCATAGTTGTAGGCATAAACCTGCGCATGAACAGACATTGAGATAAAAAATATATATATATATATATCAATTACCAAGACTATATTTTTAAAGCAGTAAAAAGAATATTGTCTGAAGAGAATTGGAATGATTATCGTGG